GCTCAGGTCAATTATGGTCCATGCCAACCTTCCTAAAAGAAACTGCCTCACACACTTTCCCTACTGAAGGAAGTGAAGCTCAGACCATCCTTGTGCCAGGAAGATTTTTTATTTGTGGTAACTACCCTCACATACCCCCTTACAGCTGATTCAACTAAGGCTAGCACCTGACATGAAAGCCACCAATTCATGCCATAGCATATAATGAAAAGTTATGCCCAACTAAGAATAATAAAAATTAGCAAAGCCAATTTGATAAGTCTCTCAGGAATCTGAAATAGGAAGGAAAGAAAAAGCCAGTCAAGCAGGAAAAGAGAAGTAAGAAAACCAGAAGTAATGACTGCAGCTGAGTCACTTTAGCAGCAGAATTAAAGTGAAAAGCCATGAACTCCAGCTGTTGTGATTATTTGGAGCCACCTTAACTTCAGAAGGCTTGCTTTTTTGGCTTCTGGTTTCCATGAAGTCAGATCACATGGCTAAGATTCCCATTTTTACTTATCTTCAAATATATTGTACTACTTGTAACAATCATTAGATTCATAGTTCATTGCAAGAACCAACAAGAGAAGAAACCTAAGCACCAGCTTTGATTTCTCTCTCCATCATTCCATCATATCCTGTCAATGTTACTTTAAAATATTACAACTACGTTCTTCTTCACCCCTACCACTGATCAAATTCAGATCCTTATTTCTTCCATGGTCTGCTGCAACAGCCTTCTAAATGAGTTTGCTATTTCCAGTATTGTACCCTTTGAATTTATCTTCCAATTAGTTGTGTAGTATGAGAAAAATGAAAATATGAAAGAATCACTTTCTACTTGAAATGCTACAGAATAAGATTTAAGCTCAATAAAATATTACATAAGGCCTCTCATGATCTTTTTCTAGCTGTTCCTTGTCACACACTTAAATTCCAATAACCCCAAACTGCCTGTATATCCAAAGATACACAATACCTCTCTATGTTTTTACTCATAATGCCCAGCCCCTCTCCTCTTCCCCTATAGACTACTCATCTTTTAAGACTTACCACTAGCCTTACCCCCTCTGAAAGCTGTCCCTGACTCTCCAACTTCATCCCTTCCAATGTCAACCTGGGGCAGAGCTTCTCCTATCTTCCACACTACTTTTTATAACACTTCCTGTACTATACTCATGACCTTTGAGCTCTTTTAATTCAAAGACAGTATCTCATGCACATTTGAGTGTCCAGAACCCTGTACAACATAAACTCTCACTAAAAGGTTGGTGAACAAAGAATAAGAAAACAGACAGCAAGGCATATATACAAATTGTCTGGCAGAATATCTGTCCTACAGCAACTGCTCAATAAATTATCATTACTATTATCTATTATTTTTCTGCAAGTATGATTATTAGATTCACTTGATCCTTTCAATTATTACCTGATATTTTTAAAGCTAAATTTCCCAAAATTTTGGCAGAGATCCCTGGGAAAAGCTCAGTTTGGTTTTTAAATTCCTTGATTGTGAGGAGCAATTTTTTACATCACTCCCATAATTCTTACAAGACATTTGTATTGGCAAGTAAGCAAATACATCTTGAGGTATCTGTTCAACCTTAAGAAGTCCAAGAAATCAGATAAGCAATTAAACTTGCGTCTAACAACTGTTGATATTGAGGGGGAGGGGAATTAGGCATACCAGGAGTTCAACCTATTTGGTTAGATACTGTTAATAATGTTTTAATAAAAGTGCCATCCACTATTTGATTGCTTCTTACCATTCCCAACTTACACTTATCTTGTGTTTCTTCTAAGCAGCCCTGAACTAGCACAATCAAGGTTTCTGGACTTTTCCATGGCATTAGTGTGCTCCAGGTAACCCTTTTCTCCAGAGGAAATACTTTTAATGTCAACTATTCTTCAAAAACTTCTAAATGTAATCACTGGATTTTACCTATTTGAGATCATTAAGTCTCATACAACTGAAATGGGCAATTCAGTATAGTGGAAAGAGTACTAAATTTAGAATAGTGAAAATTAAGTTTTCAATCCTGGGTTAACTGTGACTGGCAAAATCTAACCTCTAGCTGCTCCCACTTTCTAGATCTAAAATGAGAATTCTACCATCTTGTCCAAATCTACTGGTATCAAAATGCTTTGTAAAGTATCCAAATAATGACATTACAATATAAAAATGAAATCTGTAACTGGAACATTGATAGTAATCAAGTCCATTGTCAAATTCATGAAAATGCTTTAAGTTGAAAAAGTTATCTTTATAACTAAGTCTAAACTTGTCACATTTATACTTATTCAAAGCTGACAATAATTGTAAAAATAAAAGGAAAGAAACATGCCTGAGTGTTTCAACAGTTCGTGTATGACCGCTAAACAAAAAGTTTTTTTTTTTTTAATTTTTAACATATAGAATACACACCCACTATTCCTCTGTAATCCAAACAACTATGTCCATTTGTCTGGTGTTTATCATTAATCCCTTCAAATCATTTAAAGAACTACTGCTTCCAAAAACAGTAATTCCAACTTAGAAGAATAATCTCTTAAAAGCAGAGTGTGGTCAGAGCAAAATAAACCAAAATATTGCTATTTCAAAGCTAAGGAAAATCCTCATTCTGAAAAATAACTATCATCAATTCTTCTTTGTGAGCAGTAGTTTTTAATGTTAAAAGTGCCTCAATGCTTAGGTAAAAACAATGCAGCACAATGATAGGTTAAATAAAACTCACTCTTCGTATTTTGGGACTTCAAAGTTTTATTACCCACTACCTATGACACTTCCCCTTTGCTCCCTTCCCGTATTACTGGGACAGAGTTGCTCAGTACTTTTGGTGTGGTCCACTCAGAAGGCACACAGAAAAACAACAGGAAAAATGAAACACCCAACACATTAAAATAACAAGACAAGAGGAAGAGGCAGTAGAAGGGGGCGAAAAGAGACTGTGTTTGCAAACAAGGGCAAAGGGAGAGAGAGACAAAGAGGAGATGGAAGAAAGGGACAGAAAAGCAAAAGGATGACAAACAACAAAATCTGTTCTTCTGTAAATAGTTAATGCTTGTAAAAGAGAGGTTTCCAGAAAGTGAATCTTAGTATTACACAACAGAAATACAGAGGCCAATAAGAAAAATAATTGAGACAGCAGTGTCATAAATATTCCAAATGCCAACCAATTTCACACAAGCATGTACTTGTCTCTGACCCAAATCATCAATTTTATGTAAAGGGAGTTAGTAAAACTAACCAAGCCATGTTACAATGCTAAATAAACTGTAATCATGAATCTTAGATATCATGGAAATTCAGGGCTGGGAATTTCCTTCTCAACCATCCAGCTCAACTCCCTCATCACTCAAAGGAAGAAACTGAGACTCTGTTTTGTAACATGTCTAAAATCACAAATCATTGCAGAACTCAGGAAAGCTAGGGCTCTTTGTTCAATAATCTTACATATCTTCCGCCTCTGATTTTCTCAAGCTAATTATTAACCATCAACCATGAATTTAAAATAAAGTTTTGTCAAGTCTAACAAAAGGCTTTCTGGTGGCCAGATCAGAAGTAATCACTTCATAACAACACCGTTCACACAAATTAAAACAGAATTAAATAATAGCCTTCACAGAGTATTAACAAAATGCCCTAAGAAAAACCAAAGACCCAAATTTTAAATTTTCAGCCATTAAGATTAAGAAACATACAGAAAGTTTTTCTCTGGATCTATGGATAAAAAATATTCAACAAGGCCTATTTTTTTGTATGTGATTCTCTGCAGTCAAATCATTTGGTAGATTTGTCACCATTCTCATTTCTGATTAAATAGTAACTTATTTGTCAAGGTTCTTCTCAAATTTCAGTCCTGTATGCTTTAAGAATTTAACCCCCAGGATTGTTTATACCCTCTATACCCATGTCACTAGGATCTGATTAGGACCCTCCTTTGTAGCCAATCAAAACGAGGCTGCTTTGAATGTAAAGCTCCAGGTTCAGGTTTGGGGCCTAAAACACTGAATTTGTTTCCAGGCGGATATATCGGATTGTTCCTCATTCATCCCCCCACCCCCAAGTAAACTTGAAGCATGGTATTAATTTGGGCTACATTTCAAAAATTCCCTTGGCAATTTACTGTCTTATATAAAGCTGATCTGCTTAAAGCTTTGTTTTAATATAGCAGACATAGATAAGGGAGGAGGGAGACAAGCACAAGCCTAAGGCTTTTTTTTTTTAACTGCAGGTGTAAAACATAAGCCAATTTTATTTAAAACACTAAGTAACATTTTTAAAAATCCTTGTTTTCAATCAGACTTCATATAACGACAACATGTAAATATAGAACGTTTCCAATCAGTAGTGGTAGATTTCTGCTCCCCGAAGAAAACGCGGACTCTCGAGGTTTCGCCACTCTTACCCTCCCAGTTGCCTTTAGTAAGAGACACTGATGGCAAACTTGGGCCCCTTATCCTTTTGTCCCCCTAGACAATCTCTGGCCTAATTTGGACAAAAATCCTCCACTGATTATTCCTTCCTCTATATATCCCTGCTCTCCATTAATGAGAAATTATACCTCGGAATCGTGCCTCTCTTCCCGCTCCCCCCTCCCCCCCCCGCCCCGTAAGAAGAGAACGCCTGACCCACCGCCACCTGGAGAACAATGTAACACAACTCCGAGTCCATGGATTCCTCCATCCAAGCCCTAAGATTTATCTTCAAGGGAAATCAGAAAGCGAGTTGCGTCCTGTCATCCTGGATTCCCTCAAGGTGTTCTACTCCTGGCCTAGGATTACCCGCTCCATTATGCCGAGGAGTACTCACCTTCCTTTTCCAAGCATCTGGCCCCTTGCCCTCGCACCTTTCACCACGACCCCCAACCCACCCTCGGAGAAGCAACACAGGCAGCGAGTTCCCTCCGAGGACGCCAGCCCGAGAGGGAGGGGGTCGGGGGCGGGTCGGGAGTCGGCAGCGGCGACAGGACACTTCGGATCAGTGGCCCCACTCCCACCGCAGGACACACGCCCAATACCTTTGTAGTGCACCCGCAGGTTGTTCTGAGAGAGGCCGATGTAGCTGAACTTGTCCTTAGGGCTCCAGGACCGAGGCAGCGGCGTCTCCTGTTCGTCCACGGCCGGGTAGAGGCGCTTGAGACGCCGCTGCAGCTCCTTCTCCTGCTCGTTTAGGGCCGAGTCCCCGTGCAGGAAGGGGGCCGCGGCGCTGCTGCCCGCCAGGGCTGGGGCGCCTCCGGCCGAGCCGGGGCCCGCTGCGAGACCCGGGGGCGCGGGGGGCGCGCTGGCGGGGGCGACGACCGAGGCAGGCGGCGGGGGTGGCGGTGGCGGTGGCGGGGCGGCAGTGGCCGGGGGTGGCGGCGGTGGCGGCGGCGGGTGGAGGAGCAGGGCGGCCGCCGCGGCCCCCAAGCCGCCCCCCGCGCCGCCTCCGGGCGAGCCGGCGGGAGAGGAGCCGGCGCTGACGACCGAGGGCGCCGGAAGAACGACTCCGGAGACCGGGGCCACGGCCGCCGGCGGTGGCGGCGGCAGCTGCTGCTGTTGCTGTTGCGGCGGCGGCTGCGGCGGCTGCCCGGACATCCCGGCCGCGACTCAGCCTACGGTCGCCTCCACCTCTTCTCTCCTTCCTCCTCTGCTTCCCGGGGGCGCTGTCGCTGCGGCCGCCGGCACCAGGCGCCCAGTCCGCCCGCCCCGGAAGCAGGCGGCGGGCCGCGCGCCGGAGGAGAGCGCGACGGTTGGGGGGGCTCAGACACAGGGAGTGGGCGGCGGGCCCCAGGAGGCCCCGAGAGAACGTTGGCCGGAGCGCGGGCGCGGGCCGAGGCGCCGAGAGCAAGAGCGAGGCGGCAGTCGGGCACAGGGGGCGCAGTAGCAGCCGCCGCGACCGCTGCTCTCGCGGCTGTTTCTCGGCGGGCGGGCGGGCCTGGCCGGCGCGAGACGCTGCGCGCGGGCGGCGCTGGGCGAAGGGGCGGGCAACGAGCGCGCGAGCTGCGCGAGGGGCGGGGAAGTGCGAGCGGCGGGGAGGACGCCGGCGGGGTGCACGGGCCGGGCGGTGGGGAGAAGCTAGTTGCCCGAACGGCGGAGACCGCCTCCTCCCCGGCCAGCTCGCAGCTCGCGAAGGAGACCTGGGGCTCTAGGAGCAGGGTCCCTGCGGAGGTCCCTGCCTCCTCCCGCTAGCCCGCCTCCTCCCCGCGCCCATCTCCTCCTACTTTACTTCTTTTTGTTGTCGTCGCCCCACCTCCCCATCATGGGGTTCCCGCTAGAGCAGAGGTGCTGCTTCTCGCCCAGGCGAAAGTAATCGAACCCCGCTGGGGCCGCCGCGAGCACCGCCCGCGACATTCCCCGGGGCGCTCGGGTTCCGGGAACCCAAAAAGGGTCCGCGAGATGAGAGGTCTGAAGAGTGCCCACGGGTTCCCAAGCACAGATTTCTCTTCGCCTCCTCCCTCTTTAAGAACCTACTTCATACTTCACAGTATTTAATACCTTAACTTATTGTATAGGAGAGGAAACCACTTCTGAAGGCAAAGTCTCCCAGTTAAAATACTGAGCATTGTATTACTTAATTTTATGAAGACTTAAAGTGAACTTACAGTGGTCGAAGGTGTTAACAGGTATACTAAAAAAAACGTCTGGCATATCTTCAAAAAGCAGAAGACAAAGTTATAGTGTGTAGTTAGGAAAGGCTTCTAGAGGCATCAAAACATTTTATAAGACTAATTTTCATAACAGGCCTCCTTAGGTAGCAAAGAATTGTGCTTATTTTTAAAAGAAGAAAATAAGCCCTGGCTGGCATAGCTCAGTGGATTGCGCGTGGGCTGGGAACCAAAGTGTCCCAGGTTCGATTCCCAGCCAGGGTACATTCCTGGGTTGCAGGCCATAACCCCCAGCAACAGCACACTGATATTTCTCTCTCTCTCTCTCTCTCTCTCTCTCTCTCTCTCTCTCTCTCTCTCTCTCTCTCTCTCTCTCTCTCCCTCCCTTCCGTCCCTAAAAATAAATAAATAAAATCTTTAAATAAAATAAGAGAAGGAAATATTCACTGAGGTCAGCAGAGTCAAAAGTAGGAAGGACTTCCTACTTTGCACTTCCCAATAGAGTGCTTTGCTTCCCCCACTAATTTGGCATGAGCTGCCAAGTGTTGCTCTCTGACCGGTCCTATCATTACTGATTTGTTTTCACCACTTCCCTTTGTTTATGTTATCCTTTCCTTAGAGGGCAAAATTGAACTTTACACGTGTAAAGTACATAACAGATTCTAGTATTTTGTTTGCTCTCAAAGATACTATGATGGTAACTGGCCAAATAAGCAAGGAATGGCTTGCTGAATTGGGAATTATTCGCTTTGATGAAGGGAGGTAAATGGTAATTTAACTGAAGGCCCTCAGTGTCTGGCCAGGACTAATAGTCATTTAGTCTGATTTCTCCCTCAGTTACCCAGACAACCAGATGCCTTGTTGTTCTTTAGTAAAAACATTCAATAATTCTAAACTATTGTTTGATGACTTTTTCAAGCCAGTGCACTTTAAATTACAAGATGTCATTGTATTTAACTTGTTCTAAAATTTTCATTTACATTACAGTAATGAGTCAAATGTAAGCCAATCTCTATTTAAATATTAAGCAGCCAAGGTAGAAAAAATGGGTTCCGTGACTTATTCACACTTTCTTGAAATTCTCATTGAGATTTTATTTGTGAAGGTGTACTTTTTTTTTCTCTCCACACACTTGGAAACTATTTAGAACTTTGTATATCCTGGAAATGGTTAAGAGAATAACAGTATCTGATATTTTGTCAAAGCTTTTTATAGGAGTGACTGGTTTCCTCCAAACAAGCAATCTTAAGAAATTAATGGTTTCATTTTGGGGAAGGATCCTGTGACATGGAAACCTTTTACACTGAAGGTGGTAGAGAATATTGATAATGGTCATTTCAGAAAGCTACATATTTGATGATGTTTATAAAGAGAAGGTGTTCATGCCTCTTGACTCACTCCCACCAAAAAAAGGTGAAACCAACTAACAAAGTCAAGTGCAAGAAATTTAGGCCTAAAAATATTCCACAGGAAGTATTGATAGATGAAATATGGAAGCAAACTAAATGCTCAGCATGAAGCGAGGAGTTGAAGAAGGTTTCATATATGCCTTTCAGTGGAATTGGGACTGCAGGAGCACACACAGCACATTTGTTTAATTCCTTTTTTGTTTTTAAACGCATCCCCTCTGGGCAGGGGAATTGCCGAAAGATGAGGAGAACAAATTAGAAAAAGACTTCTTCCTCTTGACGTAGTGCGAGATTGGGCTCCATTGCAGATTCACTCCCTCCAGACCTCTTGCACAAGCACAAGCTGAAATAAATATTATATGGCCTCTTCAAAAATGGTTTTGAAGACGTGGAAAAGTGATTGAGATGTGCTACATGGAACAAGGGCACACAATAATTATACATTGCCAAAGTTATCACTAAGAAGACATGAAAGAAAACCCCAAATCACTTTACAATTGGCAATTGTGATACATAATTAAAAGTAAAATTTTATTAATATTACAAAATATAAAACTGGTCCATAGAGATGTAGGCGGTAAAAACCTATTAGCCTTGAACTTCACACTCTTTGCACCTATATTTTCAGACTTTACCATGTATTGCTGTAATATGGATATATGTCTATCTGCTGAGGTTCTCAGTAGCCAACATTAGGACACAATTGTAGCTTTTTTTAAAAAAAGACTTTTTATGGGGGGGAAGGGAGGAAGAGAGGGAGAGAAGCATCCGTGTGCAAGATAGATCGATCAGCTGCTTCTCACAAGCCTCTAAGTGGACTTTGCCCACAACCCAGGCCTGTGCCCTGACAGGGAATTGAACCTGCAATCTTCCAGCTCGAAGGCTGGCATTCAATCCACTGAGCCACACCAGCTAGGGCACAATTGTGGCGTTCTTAAGCAGCAGGATCTTATTGGAAAGATACTGGATGATTCTCAAAATTGACCAGGAGGCTGGACAACCAGCCCACATTCAAGGAAAGAGGGTAGTACAAGGGCATGAATACCAGAAGATGGAGATCTTGTGGCTCTCTTTGAAAGCTGTGTATCACTGGGTCGTTGCAACTTCTGGTGAACCCAGGGAGACTGCACTTGCCACACACATCAAATACAGCTGTAGTCTAGGGAGTAGCAAACTTTTTCTATAATGGGTAAGTAGGAAATATTTTAGCCTCTACAGGCCAAATGGTGCCTGTCACAACTACTCAACTTTGCCACTGTAGATAAAAAGTAGCCATAGACAATCTATAAACCAATAGATGTGCCTGTGTTTCAATAAAGCTTTAATATTAAAAAAAGGCAGCAGGCTAGATTTGGTCTACTGCAATTCCTGTTCTAGTGCATTTATCAATATTCCGTAAACACTGTTCTCAACACTAAATGACAAGACCAAGTCACTGGCAATGATATCCCAGGACTCAGTAAATTCACTTTATTGCTAACAATGTGTGCTGCACCTTCAAGTCCTGGATGAGCCGATGCCATATGTGCATGGCGTCGGGATATTTTGGCAGCTAATGTGTGGTAAATTGAAATGGAAGGCAAACAGCCAAACAATGCTAACTACAGCAGGATGTTGTCCAAATTGGGACTAGTGCTCTGTCAGCAATTACTAAGCACCTATTATGTATGGAACCCTGTGTTAGGTTCTGGGCATGGAGTAAGCAAAAGAGGGAAGAGGGATTACAAAGACGAACAAAGCGGCGTGGAACCCATTGCTGCAGTGAATGAAGTAGAGTTGGAGAGGCAAAGTTGGTACACATGAACTACAACATGCTTCTCAAACCTGATGTAGGGATTTGCTGAGTGGGACCCAGGATTCTGCATTACTAACAGGCTTCCAGGTCATGCCACTGCTGCTGGTTCATGGACCTTTGAATAGCAAGGACTTAGAGAAACAAAGGCTTCAGAGAGTCCAAATCCAGGTTGACAAAGTCACATGAGGGAGGACTTCTCATGTTGTCTTGGCCAGACTGGGAAGGTGGTCCTGGCTCTAACCACAGAACCAAGAGATAGTATTTCTAGGGCTTAGAATTCAGAGTGAAAAGAATCTGTAGACTCACATGGGATAACACAAGTGCATTCTCCCGTTACTTCATGTTCATGTGTGAATGAAATGATTACAGTTCAGTGTTCATTAATAAAATATATGGGAAAAAAGTTACTACATTTAGAGGAAGCTTTGTTAACATGTTCTACAAGAATTTGAACAAAAATTGCAATTTTGGCTTAAAGAATTGGAGTTAACAATTATTTAACAAATGTGTTTACTATCAATCTCCTGATTTTCCTCTTAATTTTTTCTTCTTTTTCTAGCCCTGTAACTCATTTGTCAAAGCTCACATTTTGTCTTTCTTACTGATTTTTATGTTACCTCTTTCCGGTTTTCTTATAGCAATATGAAAAGTGCATTCAGCCCTGGCTGATGTGGTTCAGTGGGTTGAGTGCTGGTCTGCAAACCAGAGTTACTGGTTTGATTCCCAGTCAGGGCACATGCCTGGGTTGCAGGCCGGGTCCCCAGTTGGGAACATAGGAGAGGCAACCACACGTTGATGTTTCTCTCCCTCTCTTTCTCCCTCCCTTCCCCTCTGCCTAAAAATAAATAAATAAAATCTTTTAAAAAAGAGAAAAAAATGCACTCAAAATGGAGTAACAACAGGGAGCAGATAGCAGAAACTC